TCTGAATTCAAAATAAGCCTGCAAAACAGTTCATCATTCCCAGTGCCCTTTTGATCCCAATGACAAGTGTGAAAGTCTCTGAATTCTACAATTTCAACTAGGGGCTTGGCCTCCCTATGCCAGAAACAGCAATGATTTTGCCCTGTTGTAAAACATGTAACTGATTCTTGGCAAACACACTCAGACCAGAGCATAATATCCATACTGGTACAATCCTGTGCTCCTGATTGTTCACATTTTTCTAAAATACTTTCCTCATTAGTTTTCCTTAATCATGCTCTTTCCTTTAAAAAGGAAGACAAAAAACTAGATCCTAGGATATGCATGCTAAGCAGATTTTCACTCCAAATGTAGCCTTAATCTTCTGAAGGCAAATGTCTTTATAGGCTCCCTCTTTTGGGGCTGCCACTTTTCCTAAACCGCAGGCCTTCCTGACTAGCAGCGGGGCCAGGACTGATTACACCAGTGTGGTGGTTCTATCAGGCAAGCTTTGACAGAGCCTGAAAATAGACCCTGGGCACCAGCCAGGGAAACTGCCACTCACAAGTTCCAACTTCATCATAACACGTAAGCCTCTTAGCACTTTTTTCTTCTCTAGTCTCTCTCATGTTAAAAGGGCAAAGATTCCTGAACCTGTTCCTGGTCATGAGCTATATAACATAGAAATGAACACTTGGAAACGTCCTTTCCTCTTCTCACAACAATGCAGAGTGACAACTGAATCTGTACCTGCCTCCTGCCTTTGGAAATTAACCCATCGACAGTACTCTGGTTTGCCAACGGATTTTTGGATCTCAGACTCCACCGAGGTTTATTTCATTATTAATAGTCTAGGATGAGGTAGATAAAGGAAAAAGGGGTGGGTTATTTCTTTCCCTTGTGGCTAATAACATAGTAGCAGACATCAACAGGACAAGTTAAACTATATACAATGTAAAAATAAATAAATAAGTAATACTTAAACTATATACAATGTTTTTCATTGCCATCAGTCATAAAGTCCTAAAACAACCTACTACAAAAGGTATTCATTTAGGTATTACCAAATATAAACAGAGTGATTTGCCTATAACAGCACCAGTCTTTAAGCCACAGCATTTTTACGTTTACCAGGACACATATAATATAGTACCTGTCACTCTAAAATGTTCTTTAAGTTGCTTTATAAAATACAGCTGTAGCATTTTTTAAAATGGAGAGAATAAAGAATACACGTAATTAAGAGCTCCTTTCTCCTTCAAGGTTAAGGAAGAAGTTAACTTCTATTATAAAATAAAGCTCAATATAGGATTTAAATACATTTTTAGATTTCATAACTTAAACCCCAATCCTGTAATCACACTTTCAGAAATACATTCCATACACATACTTATGGATTAGTGCAAAAACTTATATATGGGTTGTTCATTATAGCAGTGTTGGCAGAAAACTAAAAACAACCTAAATGCCTAGTAATAGGGAATGGTAAAATAAATATGGAAAATGAATAAATTATGGCTCATCTACATTAGGCAAAACATCCAGTCTTTTTAAAAAATCAGATGGGAAAAAGGGGTGAGGGAGGAAGTAGAGGGTGTAGGGGAGATAAATGGTGATGGAAGGAGACTTGTCTTGGGGTGGTGAACACAGAATACGATACACAGAGGATGTGTTATAGAATTGTACACCTGAAACCTATATAATTTCATTAACCAATGTCACCGCAGTAAATTCAATAAAAAAGTATAAAAAAAAATCCGATGGTCATGTGTGCTAACATAGAAAGATCCCTAAGACATATCAAGGGTAAGAATGAAAGATATGGGACATTTGTCCTAAACATATGTGATTACATATATAATAGAAAAATTTGGAGAAGGATAAGCAGGAAACCATTAATAGTGGTTGATGGGATTAGGGGTAGGGAAGTGAGAAAAGGCTAAAGTTTACTGTAGAAGGGAGACTTCCTTTTCACCATATAACATTTTCTTTTTAAATGTTTTATCAATTTTAAAACATCCTGCAAAAATCTACTAAGCTCATAAAGTGAGCATTCTTCTTCCATGCATACTATTTCCTCCCTCTTCTTAACCATTTCTTACCTGATCTACTGCTGTCCCTACCACTAGACAAAAACAAAGCATACATATGCATACATACAACAAATCTCAGAGTTTCTCCAAGAAACAGGACCCTCTCTGTCCCTCCTCCCCACCAAAAAAAAAAAGAAAAGAAAAGAAATAGCAGAACAAATGAAAAAAAGCATAACATACGATAAACCCAGTTTTTAGCCTATTTTTTGATTCCTTTTAAGTCTGGCCCAATTTATTGTAGGCCAAAAAGTTTTCAAAGTGCAATGGGCAACACATAAACACACAAAATCATTTCCACACGTGTCCTATTATCTTAAAGGGAAAATGGAGAAAAAGGACAGTTATTTTACTCACAGGGTAAATCTGCTCAATTTCTTCTGAAGTTTGAGTTCTCAATAATGGTCATAAAGTCTATTCAGTATTTGCGAACTGGACATGGTATTATGTTTTCTGGTTAAAGGACCATCTCTCCACTCAGATTCTCCAGAGCGAAAGCAACTACTTGTATCTAAAAGGAAAGGGCTATGAAAGGGTCTCTATTTTATAGATGCAATGATCTTATCATGAGGACAGAGAATTTTGTTTCCTCCTAAGTGATCCTCATCAACATTCCCAGCACATTGCAGGAAGAGTTTTTCTATCCATCATCAATTCTGTTCCTTTTTACACTAAAAGCAGGGTAGACAATTCACAAAGAGCTTTTGCAAGAAACTGCTCCCTCCCTCTCATTTCTAGTAAAGGTCTGTTTTTGGTTTTGTTTTCAGAGAGGAAAAATCTCCTTTGTCAAATATATTCTCCCTATCATCTTTTTCTTTCATTACAGAGATGCTTAAATCCTGACCTAAGAAGGCTTCTCTTGCAAGACAAGACTGTCAGGGATGGAGATGGTGGTTTCCACAAGGGATTTTCCAAAAGAGAATCTCTGTTCATGGGGAACTGAAACTTTTATGTCATTAATAGCTGGACAAAAATCAAAAGCAGCATTAGGGAACACTGTGAATATAAGAATGGATAACCCAGGAAACAAGAGGCCAAAATTTAGTCCAAGAATTAAATGAATTTGGTAAGCAAGACCAAAAGGGTAAACTTACCATTACTTTTTATCACTGATAACTAACTAAAGTTCTTTATAAACAAAAGATCAAGGTAAAATAAGCTGAATTCCAGAAAACAAGGCTAAGAGTATCAATAACTCTGTGATTCAGTTATTTTGCTTAACAACAGCTTAAAAGCCAAAAACGTCAAGTTGCATGTCAGCATAAAAAGTTATTTCTAGTTTAAAATGAATTCACTACAATAATAAATCACAACTTCAGTTCACACTTTCTTCTATGTCAGAACTTAAATAAGAAGTATACATAGTCTCACTCCACATCATTTTTAAGGATACATTTGCAAAATGAGTGAGACCTTTCACTCAGAAGACTATTTTGTATACTGCAGATTCTTTCTGTGAACTCTCCCTTTCAGCAACATGTATTTTGTTTCTAGAGCCCCTCATTTATGGGTAAAAATCACAACAATCCACTTAGGAACTAACATCCAAACATCCTGCAAAAGTTCTTTTTATTTCCTTATCATACTTCATGACAATAAATATCCAGCAACAAACCAAGCACTATGAAACACAACCCTTCCTATAACATGAGGGAAGGCATCTAATAAAGCAGGCGACAACAAACTTCTAGCTTTCCTCTGCACCAATTTTAAGATCCGTATCAATGATTCACCAAGCAGTGACCTAACTTCCTAAATGAATCACACTTTCCAAAATTTTCATTCTACACCAGTAGAATACTAGGTCATCATCTCTGTATTGGTTAAACAGAACATGATGTTGGTAAAACAGGGTTAATTCTGCAAGACTTTCAAACCACAGCAAACCTCAAGTCCCTGCCAACTAACTCTTATCTGCTCCACTCTGCATTCTCCAAAAACAGATTGATCCCCAAAATAAAATGTTATCTTGAAAACAATGTTATTTTAACCATTAAGAACGGATCCATCCACTCCCCGCTCTCTATCGCTGATGTCATCACTGCATCCACATTCTCTTCCCGTGGTGACAAAATAATGACCATTCTGTTATCCTCACCTATATCTTTTAGCCAATTAACCTACTCTACAGTTTTTCTGTTTACGGCAGAAATGCTGAGTCATTAAATGGAAAAGCAAAGAAAATAAGCTACGAACTACTGCAAGTCGAGGATATTTCCCTAGCCACCTCTCAACTGCCTGATATTTGTGTCTCCCGCGGTGACACCAGGAGAACAAACACCTGAACTCCCCCCACCCCCGGCCCCGTAAGAAAGAAAAAGAAGTGGATTTCCTTAGGTCCCCCTGCTTCCTACTCTTTATCCGCAGACGAGAAGCAGGCCTGACTGGACTACAGAATAGAACAATCTGGGTGTGAATAACACCCCTTACTAGTCAAGCATGAAGCAGGACACTCCTAGCAAGCGCCTGTTGTGCCCGCGCTTCATTTCGGGTCAAGAAGGAAGGCAAAAAAAAAAAAAAAAAAAAAAAAGCCAAAAAATGCTACGCCCTCCACTGGCCTGACACCGTACCCTGGGGCGACTGCCTGGGGACAGAACCGACAGAGAGCAAAGCGCGTCTGGAAAGGTGGAGAAGGCTCCAGGAGCACCCGAAGCCGAGGGACAGCAGCCCAATTTAATTTCTCCTACAATACGAGTAACACCTTCCCCTCAAGCGGACCGAGGGTGCGCGTTAGAAACCTGGCGTGAGGCCGGAGACAGGCGGAAGGCAGGGAGCGACCCCGACCCCGGAGCCCGCTGGGGGAGTCCGCCAGCTCCAGGGAAGCCCAGCCCCCAGCAGAGGTCAGCGGCGGCGCGGACCCCCAGGCTGCAGAGGCCAGGAAGAGGCCCCCGTACCTGCCCTCCCCCGGACAGCGGGAAGAGCAGCCCCTACCTGTCTTTGGGCGCGGGCTGTGGCTGCGGCGGCGCCGCCCGGGAAGGGCCAGAGCGCGGCTCGCTCGCCGGGAGCCTGCCCGGACGAAGAGCGGGGAGCGAAGGGCGAGTGGCGCGGAGGGCGAACCTAGTCCCAGGTTCCCGGCCAGGGGGGCCGGGCTGGAAGCGGCAGCTCCAGATGTCGGTGGCTAGTGAGCCAGTCACGCCGTGTCCTCTCGCCGCCCCGGCTCAGACAGCGGGAACCGGCCCCCGGGAGGAGCCGCAGCCCGAACCGCCGGCGGAGGAGGCGCAGGAGGGGCGGGGCCACAGGGTCGGCGACCCGCTCACCCGGAAGTAGTTGTGGTCGCGGCAGCGCGCGCCGCGGGGTGGGCTTGATCCTGGCCGTGCAAAGGCACCCGGCCTCTCCCTCGGCGAGCTGAGAGCCGCCGAGGGGGCGATGCTCTGCCACCGCGAGCTGCTGGGGCCTCGCGGGAGGGTCGGCGGCGGGCCGTGGCCGCCGGTGGAGTGGAGCACCGGGGCGGCCTTGAGATGGGTCTCCGACTCCTCCGAGTCCACGGTGCCCGCCCAACTCCTCTGCCCCCAGGACCAGGGCCGGGTATGTGAGTTGACGCTTGTGCTTATGCAAGGGCTGCACCTGCCCTGGTTGCCTCTAAACTGTCCGGCCTAGTGGCCTTGGTTAAGTGGGCCGAGGTGGCAGTTTCGACTGTAAAAAACAAGTGCGAGGGCGAAAGGGTGCAACTGAAATGATAAAAGCCTTATTTGCAAAGTCAAAACGAGTGATTTTTAGAAATTATTACCTGAGAAGAACGGGGGTCGGGGGTATGGATATAGATAGAGCCCATTAGGTATCTGATAGACACAGACGTGCCATTCATTCCGGAAGTATCTCTTGAGACCCACGAGGTAAAAGTCACTGGAGAAAGACCAGGCTCCTGATCTTTTTGCAGATTTAAGCAAACAAACAAGGTAATGACACATTGTGTACGGCTCTGCAGGAAATAGCAGTGATGAATGAATGAGTAAGATTATTTCCTTTGGCAGGATCAGGTGGCTAGGAAGACTAGAGGGAAGTGACCGTGGAGCAGCCTCCTGAGAAAAAGGCACGAAATACACGTAGATACAATTTTGCGTACAGGGACTGTAAGTTTCAGAACCCCTGGGATAAGCCCATGGATGCCATGTTAAGAACCAGTTTCTAAAGCCCTTCGAGGCTTTTCGGTGCTTCTGCAATTTCAGGAGGCTTGCTGACCCTGAACAGTTTATGAGGGCTGGGCTTACGGCATGGTTAGGAGAGGTTCAAGGTATGAATTAGGGAACTTTGGTTTCTAGACAGTGAGACATAAACAGACACTTTATTGCATTTTACCACCAGCCTTGAAAGATAACCTCTTTAGCTTTTCACTATTTCTCTTTCCATGTCACTATTTTTCTCAAACCCACGAGTCAAATGGCTTTTACCTGGGATCAAGAAGAGCTTAATCTTCCCAAAAGAGTGTACTGTTTTATGATCTGAATAAAGAATTAATGACATCTTTTGCTAAACCAGTTAAAGACAAAATTAAATGCCGACTTGCAAGAGAAAGCACCTATTTAAGTAATAATAATAAGACCAAAAACTCAGGATGTTTATTAAATGCTAGTTTATATAACTGCATAATTAATAGAAAGATTGTTTGGATAATAGTAGGATGAAATTCTCTTGTCTTTTTTTTTTTTTTTTTTTTTACTCTTTAACCACTTATTTTTGGGTCACACCAAACTAACAGAGAAATTTTTTGTTGTGTCTTCTGGGAAAACTGGCAGGGAGTTCACACTTACTGAGTACCTGTGATTTTCACAGCCTTCCTATAGCCCTTACATACATTATCCCTTTCAGTACTAGGACCAGTCTTGAGATATAGGAATTACTATACCCGTTTTAGTAACTAAGACACTGAGATTAAGAGAGACTTGACTAAGGTAGCAAAACTAGAAGAGCTAAAATTTGAACTCAGACCTTTCTGGCCCTTACTCCATTCACACCATGTTGCTGTACTTCAATATTTATTTAAGAGGGCGATATAAGTAAAGTGTCCTGTCAAGCAGATTTTTGTGTTGCTTTTAAAATTTTATGATGAAAATATACTTTCACATAGAGTGTAAATTAGTCAATTGTGGAACTCTGTGTTTTACTTCTTCCTTTCCAGGATACTTGCCATCTCTTTGGCACTGTCAAAACTATTCCACTTGTTTTAAGAGTTCGTACTGTCATGTGTCTTTTGAACACTCCCAAGAATGTTACAAAGGATGATGCAATATTTTGTCGTTGCAGGGGGGTCTGACTAAATGCATCACTCTGAATTATTTCATAGCCAGACTTTCCCTGCACATTTAGTGATCTTTCTGCCCAAAATATGTGTTCCCATGTCTTGATGGGATATTCTGATGTGTAGTGCCCCCAGGTCTCTGTGGGCTAGCTGCTCTAGGGAAAAATTAACAGATGAAGGAAAATTTTGCAAGTGTTTATACAGTTTTGAGGAATGAGGTAGTAGGATTTGTACATTTTTGTTCCTTTCATATCAGATCCTTCACATTTTTCTTTGATGATGTCAAGAAACAAAAATTTTCCTTTCTCAAGCGCAAACACTCATTTTTGTGGTTTTAACAAAATTGTCTTTTGCAGACATAATACTTTGTTTCACTCTATACACATCTCTGAAAAACGTTAGTTCAAACATTAAAAATAATTGCCACTTTTCAGAGCCTAGTATTTTTATTTAAGTGTGTGAGTGAGTGTGTGTGTGTGTGTGTGTGTGTGTGTGTATGTTGAAAGCATTTTTTAAATTTTGGTTTACTCCTTACAAAACTATGCAAACATAGTAACTGTATATTTGCTTTAAATATAACAAATATTCTCTTTCTAAAAATTTCTTCTCATCTAGATTTACTATTTTTTCTTGCTGTCTTCTTTTTTCTTTTACTTTTGATTTGGAAATAATTATAGATTCACAAGAAGTTGCAAAAATAGTGGAGAGGTTTCCCTCATTGGTAGCTTCTTACATATATATAATTATATTATTAAAACTAGGAAATTGACATCTGGCTATCTTCTTTAGGTTTTTAGTTTATTTTTGTGTCATTGTATCAAAAAAATTCCATTTCGCCACAGTTCATTTCTGTTGCATTTGATTTGGTTCTTCTACCTTTCCTAAATAGCAAATGACAAAGTCAGTAAGCTTGCATGGTCCTGATCTGGAATTACAAGTTTACTAAAAACATCTGTGGGTTAACACACTTAAAAATCATTCATTTGTCCCTGGCTTGTGTGGCTCAGTGGATTGAGCACCAGCCTGCAAACCAGAAAGTCACCTGTTTGATTCCCAGTCAGGGCATATGCCTGGGTTGTAGGCCAGGTCCCCAGCTGGGAGTGTGCGAGAGGCAACCAATAGATGTTTCTCTCCCTCTCTCTCTCTCCCTCCTTTCCCCGTCTCTAAAAATAAATAAATAAAAATTTTTAAAAAAATCATTCATTTGTAAAATCGTTTGCTTTTTTTCTGTGTATACTATTTCTTGTCATCCTGCCCTATAACCCTATAAATTCATACAACCTGCATATGTGTGTACTATACCGACTCTGGCCACTGAAATGTGTTTAAAGAGATTGCTATTAAAGTAAAAGGAAAAAAGTGAAAAGCCCCTCAGGACTGGAAAAAAAAAGTATCTAAACTTCTAACTCTCCGAATGGGAGTGCCATGGTCTCGATGGTCTGTTAGTTCGGAAGCCAGATCTCATTTTTAGCTAATTCTGGCTCTACAAGACATCTCCTAGCCAGAGCAACTCACCTTGGCTCCACCAGAGAGTAAACAAAGGAAAGGAAAGTTGTGAAACTCACTTTCTTCAGTCTTAGTGGTGAGAAAAGATTAATGAGCAGGGAGAATTTGGCGTTTTGTATAGATACCAATTACGTATGAATGCCTAATCACAGATAATCAAGTGAAGGCTCTTCTTAGTTATATAATCATTGTAAATGAATAATCAGACATCCTTCATATTATGGCTCATTTAGCAAACTCACTCACCTACTGTGTACCAGGCACTTAGACACTAGAAACACAGGCACACAACAGGATCTGTTTTTAAATTTTTATTTACTGAGAGAGGGAGAGAGAAACATTTCTCTGATGCTCCACTTATTTATGCATTCATCGCTTGCTTCTTGTTTGTGCCCTGACCTGGGATTGAACTCACAACACTGGTTTATCGGGATGACACTCTAACCAGCTGAGCTACCCAGCCAGGGCAATAGGATCTGTTTTTAAAATAAGTATCAAGCTCTTATCGTGGGCCAGATGCTGGGGATCTAATGAGAAGTATAAAAAAGAAATCTGTGTTTCCTTCTCATAAAACTTACTGTGTGGTAACAGACAAATTATCACACCAAAGTAACTTTATAATCCTAATAGTTAATACTCAGTGTAGGTATATGCTGCATGAGGACACTAAAGTGGAACTCAACCCAATCAGGTGTCAGAAATGTCTTCTCCTAGCAAGAGGGGCTTTGAACCAAGGTTTAAAACTGCCTCAGAGGAAACTCAGTCTATAAGTAGGGGAAGAGCAAGGAATAACCATCATAAAGATCTCATGATGGAACCAGCAGAGTCCCAGAGGCTGAAAAGAAAGGGAGATAATGTGAGATGAGTCTGGAGAATTAAGTAAGGGCCTTATAGGGTAGGTAAGGATTCTTTGGAAAGCAATGCAAACTAATTGAAGAGTTTTTAGTGAGAAGAACATGGTCAGACTTGTGTTTTCAAAAAATCATTTTGGCTTCAATGTGAAGATTTTAAATATGCCCTGTTTGCCCTATGGGCCAAGTAGTAGTCTCTGCACTGAGTACATAGCAGTGAACTAAATGCACAGAGTCTCTGTTTTTGAGAGGCTTACAGACAATACTCAAATGGTACACAAGATGATAGGTGCTACAAAGAACCCAGGTGAGAAGAAAAGGATAAGGCAGTGTTGCTATTAGCTTGAACCCTATGAAATTAATTGATATTTTTATATCATTTTTTTCACCTCAGCATGATAGGCTTATGTGGATCAACCTGGTTGAATGATGTTAGAGTTCTATTATTCAACCTAATTCTTGGGAGTGTTACAGAAGGCTTCTAATGAGGTGATCCAAAGAAAAAGAGAGGTAAGTCATGCAAATACCTGGAGGCAAATGCCAAGCAAAGGGGCAACAAGTATAAAGTCCCTAAAATAAGAACGTGCTTGGCCATATTTGAGCAACAAGGAGGCCAGTATGACGGAAGAGTGATGAACAAG